CCACTATTGCAAAGGGGCAGCGCAGCATTAGCGCCTATGATTAAGGCATTAATCCTGGCTTGCATTAATCGCAGGTGTTAACGCAGGTCAGTTGACAGCCTTAGTTGCCAGGTGATGACAAAGTCCTGGCCATTGTCTTCTCATGCTCCGTTGATATGGGAACTAAGGCCCAGACAGCGAGGCGACAACCACACCTATGTGTCAGCTTCCCTGAGAGCAACCAGTCCCCTCCCACTGGGTAACAGTGCAGCACATGGGGAGAAACTGAGGCACAATCAGGACTCATAAGAACATTACGAAACATTCCAGCTATGTCTACACTGGCTAGTCTTGGGCAAGACGGGACAGTGTAGACGTAGCCTCCCACTGTGGCTACCACAACACTGCAACCTGGCCCCCGGCTCAGTCGCAAAGAGATCTCGTATTTAGTGGAGGGGGAGCCTGAGTTCTCACCACCTTCTGCTGTTTGGGACCACCATCGAATAACCCAGCTGAGCAAAGCAGATGCACAAAGCCTGCAGTAAAATCCTGGCTGGGTCGGAATCAACAGCAGACCAAGGATTTCACCTTGCTGTATGACCTGCATGGGCTGGAGATAATACTAGCCTTGGGAGACCTTCCCCCGAAAAGACGAGCCCGGCTGCCCTGACTGATGCCCCTCGGGCCAGGCCCGCCTGCATGGATGCAGAAGGATCAAGGCTGGACTGAAGTGGTCAGACTCCCCAGTTCTCATTTGCAGCAGACAAGCGAAGGGGAAGGACATTTGTGGTCAAAACGATCAGGTGGTTCCTGTTTGCCTATCATAAACAAGCTATTAAATCTAACTGAGGTTGAGTGCTTCGTTTAGGGTCACGTAGTTAGCCAGGTCTGTACTCTGCAAACAGCTCTGACCATGAAAAGCCGGGTATAAATGTTAAGTATTATTATAGAACGTTGTTCTCAGCTGACACGCAGAACTCCGGTTACCCCCATCCCCCGGGACTCAAGTGTGCAGACTGTGGTCAGTATCTGATGCTTAATGTTCACGTACTGAGACATGTCCACACTGACGTATCCATACAAATAATGGCTCCAGTTTAAAGTAGAGCACACTCTCCCCCTTCCAGAGGGGACAGAAAGGGTCTGTTTCATGACTTTCAAACTACAGGACTGGGAAATGCGGCTTCAGACACTGTAACAGGAAATAACACATGAAATTCTTCACATTCCTTGGCTTGCTGGATATTTGTATGTGAAACGAGAGCATCCGATTGTCTTCCCAAATAGCTGGTTCCCCGCTTCTTCTTCAGACTTGATTACACTTTTTTAATTTTAAAGGTACCTGAGTTCTAACTAGCTTTTTGCATGGCTTTTCTCTCAATCTGCCACCTCCTCACCAAGCGATCAGCAAACCAGGCCTCTATGGAACTGTAGCCTCTGAGGTTTCAGTTGAGGGCATGGGCAGGAGTAGATAAGAGAAAAAAAATAACACAGAACTTCCCAATAAGAGTTCAAAGCTGTCCTTGCCTTGACCTTGGCTGTCTCAACCAGTACCTTCCAGGCAATTGTGTATACACAATCCTCTATCCTGCAGTGAGACTTAGGCTCTTATTGAAAGTATGTGGTTTGGTACATCCCAAGTCCACCACAAATTAGCGCATGCATCATTTATGATGGAGGGGAGAAGATACTGCTTGCGGGTCTGATCCTACACCCATGGGAAGTTCTGCCAGTGAATGCAAGTGCGGCAGGATTGGGCCCTGAGATAAGACAGGGGTGCCTGCTTTACAAGTCATAAGGACTTGACATACCCGTGCTGTGCACTGATCCAGTAAAACACAAGCATTCTTGAAAACCCAGCCCCAGCTGAAGCCTTCCTAGAGGATCCAGCGATGGCTTCAGCTGACCTAAGTGCTGTCAAATGTCATTAGAGCGGAACAAAGACTCCATTTCAAGTCACACATCAAAGCTCATTTCCCTTACGCCCTGGGCTAGGCAGGTTTTCTATTGATTTTGGTAACACTGGTCTCCAGGCCTATACACTGAAGATAAAACATTCTTCAACATTCAGCCACAACGCTCTGCATTAACTAAATGTCCAAGGCCTGAAACAAACCCACAAAAGCCAGACGTGGCAAGACTACAGAGGCAAATGAATCCAGCCTGAAACTCAGTGTCCTGAGCCAATGCAGGTGTTCCAGGAAAAGGTGAGGTGCTCCTTGTTTTTAGCATCTTCCAGCCAAAGATCTGTGAGCTTTTCATACTCTTAAACATCCCACCCTCCTTGAGAACCAGGCAAGGGCTGTGTCTGTTTTGCAGAGTGCGGAACAGAGAATAAGACAAGGAGTAATTAGTGGAAGGATCAGGAATAAAAACAAGACAACCTGTCCCCTAGGGCCTAGAGAATATACCCTCATCCCTAGTCTGATCCAAAGCCCGTTAAGGTCATGGAAAGGGAGCTCAGGTCTCTATCGCAGCCTTTCCTGACTTGTATTTAAGGGTATATCCTCCGCACAAGCATACAGCATATATGTTATTAGCTGGGCTTATAGTATTTTGATGGACAATAACAGAATGTAAGCTCTCCAGGACAGGCTCTGAATGGCACCTAGCAAAATTGGGCACTAGTGCACACCAATGAATCCCCTTGCTGGTGAGCCAATAACATTATTCCCATTTGCCCGATGAGTAGTGACAGCCGAGGCTATAGTGAGAGGTGATGTTAGAACCAGCATGAGGGTTCAGAAGCTGCTGGCCTGACTTAAGAACCCACAAACTTTGCCTGCGTGTCATCACTCTCCGACTTTCCCTTCCCCTGTTGGTTGGTTCCCACCTTCTATCCCAGGGGTGGTTACAGGTCCATGCTTGGGCCCCCTTGGGAGGAAGAGAGCGCTACAAAGTATTGCCAGGACGTGTCTACGTGTGCGCTGCAGCAGACAGCTCTGCACACTGCATCGGGGACCTCTATCCGGAAGGCTCCGGCTCAGCTGGACACAGACACGGCTGCGTCCCGGATCTGCCTTCACTTTGACACAAACCTGGAAGAGGATCATAGCAGGGCTGGATTACCCAATAGGAAGACTAAGCATGTGCTTAGGGCACCAGCAAAGCAGGGGCACCAAAAAAAAAAAAAGAGATTTTTTTTTAAAAAAATTGATATTTCAAAAAACGCATCTAAGTAGTCATCATGGGAAAAATCAGAACTCCGCCGAACGCTCTTTTTCTCAGCTGAAAAGAATAAAAAACCTGCAGAGAACGTGTCAGGACAGACTTGATTCACTTTTCCTATTGTGTCTGGACGCGGACGTGCTTTGTCGAGTCAGCTTTGATGAACTTATCCAGAATTTTGCAATCAGAAAACCTAGAAAGAAGCTATTTTAATTTCAGCGTACATGTAAGTTTTGTGTCATTTCGAAAAATAAAATTTTATTTTGCGGTACAGTATTGTTTTTATTTTGAATTACATATGGGGAGCACTATAATCTTTTCAGTGCTTAGGGCCTCTAAAGGTCTTAATCCGGCCCTAGATCATAGCCACGTGGATATGGAAACAGCTGTGACCCAGATGTGTCCACCTTCTGTCTTTGAAGTCTGGAAGAGGTTCCCATTCACAGGGCTAGCCCCCTGCACTGGTTTCCAGTTGTCCTACAGAATGCTGGACTGAACTGTTAGGCAACTGATCATGGCCTCTCCAAGGGGAGTTAATAGTTACACAGATTCTGAAACGATAATACCGTTTTTAGCCATCTTGACCCCTGGCATCTTTTGACTCGTCGTTAAGGCCAATGGCCAGTTACATTTTTGCCAGAGATTTGCTGGACATTGATCTAGCTAAGGAATTCAAATGGATTAATTAACCTTAAAGATAAGTCACAAAGGAAAACGTGCTAGTATCTTGTGTATTCTGCAGGATTAGAAATACCCCTAAAAAGGGAGTTTGGGTTAATATCTAGGTTTTCATCTTGGAATTTTTTGTTTTGTATTAGAAATCAGAGGCCTTGACTTAACTTTGTCTGAGGCCCTGTTGGAGGATTGTTAATTGAAGTTAATGTGATCCATGAGAGCTCGGTGCTTTTAAAAAACAGGTTGCTTCTTTAGTTAAGAATATGAATATGAATATGAATAAATATGAATTTAGGTGCCTAACTTTAGGCACCCAAGTTTGAAAATGTTTGCCTTTAATACCTCTGTGCCTCAGTTTCCCACTATGTAAAAAAAGAAAAAATCGTATTTCACATTGTGAGGATGTTGTGAGGTTTATCAATGCCTGTAGTTAACGTGCTATAGGATGTTTTGGCAAAACAACAAATCGGTCAGGGCTATTATAAGTCAAATCCTTGAGGGGGGGAATCAAGTTTGGGGTTAACTATTTTAACGCGGGGTTGGAGTATGAAGCAAAAAGAACTAGTAATGCTGACAAGCCATGAAAAAGCCAAGTCTAAAATGGGTCCCTGCGCTGGCTGGAAAACCACATCTGTTTGCTAACTGACAAGCTGGCAACACTGATAAGCTTGGAGGGAAGCTGGGGGCTGGAGGGTATACATGGGTGGATGGGGAAGGAGCCTGCCTGCCTGCGCAGCTGATCTGTGAGTTCTGTCCTTCTATCCTGAAGGCCTTACAGCCTCAGAATCATCCCTAACCTCATTCTGCACTTGTACTGGGCCCATCAGCAAACTGCCTTTTATGGTTAATTACACATCCCATTCCATTCTCTCTATTGATTATTACTATCTTTACTAGTATTCTAGTAGGCCTGGCGCATCATGCTCAGAGCCTGGGGACTCTATGCACGTGGCCCAGGGCTTACACACCAAACCATGGCACCGTCTCCTCTAGACTCCACAGGGGCCTGACTACAAGATGTGGGGAGAGGGGAAGGACTGTAGACTGCGGGCTACCTAAAGTGCCCCCCCCCCCCCCCGAATGTCTGATCACATCACAGCCATTAATGGGCCCCCTTCAGTTACACCCATCGCACAGCAGGGGAACCGGGAGGTTAAGTGACACGCCCGAGGTGACCGAACGCGGAGTAGCCAGCTGCTGTGTGAACGTTCTACGGGCCGGGCCGGGCCGAACGCGGAGTAGCCAGCTGCTGTGTGAACGTTCTACGGGCCGGGCCGGGCCGAACGCGGAGTAGCCAGCTGCTGTGTGAACGTTCTACGGGCCGGGCCGGGCCGAACGCGGAGTAGCCAGCTGCTGTGTGAACGTTCTACGGGCCGGGCCGGGCCGAACGCGGAGTAGCCAGCTGCTGTGTGAACGTTCTACGGGCCGGGCCGGGCCGAACGCGGAGTAGCCAGCTGCTGTGTGAACGTTCTACGGGCCGGGCCGGGCCGAACGCGGAGTAGCCAGCTGCTGTGTGAACGTTCTACGGGCCGGGCCGGGCCGAACGCGGAGTAGCCAGCTGCTGTGTGAACGTTCTACGGGCCGGGCCGGGCCGAACGCGGAGTAGCCAGCTGCTGTGTGAACGTTCTACGGGCCGGGCCGGGCCGAACGCGGAGTAGCCAGCTGCTGTGTGAACGTTCTACGAGCCGGGCCACGCTCGGACCGCACGTGTCCCCGGATCGGGCTCGCGTCCCTCTCCGCTCCGCTCCCCCGGCACCCCTGCGATGGCTCAGCTCAGGGTGACCGATTTCTTCTCCCACAGTAAAAACCCCGCCAGGGACGGGCCGCTGGGCGCTAAGCGGAGGAAAACCCAGCCCGCGGCGGGAGCGGTCGGGGAGACGCGCCGCGCCGGCCGCTGCAAAAGCCGGCCTAAGGCGGCCCCGCTCACCCCATCGAGGATCCCTGGAGGAAGCGACTACGAGCCCCGGGTGAGCCTCGCAGGAGCCAGCCCGGGAGCGAAGCTGATCGGATTCGGAGATAAAGCGGTGGGGAGCGCTACAGCCGGGCTGCCTCCCCTGAGCCTCCAACAGCAGCAGCTGCTGGCCTCCCCCCGCACCCCAGTGCGCCCCGATCCCGGCTCCCCACAGCCCCCGGCACGGACACTGACGGGCAGAAAGCGCTGTAGACAGGAACCGGATCCTGACCTGGAAGCGGAGCGAAATCCCGGCCCCTCAGCCACGCTCCGGCCCCAGGAAAACAGCAAGAGAGCGGCCAGGAAGAAGCTGGTACTGCCCTCGGATGGAGAGCCCCAGACTACAGCGCAGGCGGCGCCCGTCACGGTAAGCTCCGCTCTGGGGGCCTTCGGCCAGCGCGCCCCAGGTTCGGGCTCCGCAGATCTGGGTTCCCTTTAAAACGGGGCTTCAGTGGGTTCTGAGGCTTCTTGGGACCTTGGTACCGCGTGCTGCGGGCTTGCCCGCGGCCGCTGCAGGAGCCCTAGCGCCTCCCTGTCCTGCCCGGCCGAGCCAGTGACAAAAATAAGTGCGGGAT